CCAGTCCTGATACGTTAGTTCATGGACTTTCACAGGGATAACCTTCTATAGCTGCCTGTGACCACAACAACATTGACTACTTGGCATAGTCATCTGTGACCTCCTGGACAGTAGAGTATTTGGCTATTGTTTTCAATTAGGTAATTTTGTTGCAAAGACAACCTTTGAACTTTGAAACTAATGAAATTAGATGTGAAGCATCATAGATTGCTTGTTGTTACAGCAGGGAGGATGGGATATTGGCATTAAATTAGTAGCTGACTTGGGAATCCTGCCTGGGAGTCGGTCAAGCAGCTGAAAGTACTGTATCCCCAATAGAAGTTGCTATCTATGGTAGCACAGCCTGGTGAGCCTGGCACAATACCCAAAGGGCATAGATGCTTTTTTGTCATAAGTCCATCACAATCTGTCAGCACCAGAGGGACCAATCTGGTGGGATTTACCTGGTAGAAGTAAGAAGGGGCTGACCATCACAAGCAACCCTACAGATAAGATAGGCAGCAAGAACTTAGACATTAAGTAAGGGCTCTAAGCAGGCACCAGGCCTGAAAAGAAATTGAGACAAAAACAGGGTACCCAATGGAAAATAAGGAGTTGAAATGAAGGTTATACTAAGACAGGAAAAACATGGTAAGGGGAAAGATAAGTATCAGAGATTATGCTTGCACCAGGGTTTACTCTTGTGTCACAGGATTTCTTGTCTGAGTAAGGTTAAGCAGATGTTGGGACTAAGGAGGACCACTGCAGTCCTTCCTGGATCCCTGGACCTTGGATTTTAAAGGAAAACTTTACTAAGTCTCCACTGAATATTGAGACTGACTGAAGCAGCTGTGCCGTATTTGTATCTTTGTCAGGATTTGAGCTGGAGCTGAATATTCAGGGATTCACTGGGGAGAACTAAGGACTATACTGAGAGCCAGGAAACCAATGTTGGATCTATCACTGGGAGTCTGGTGAAAGATACTTTATGCCTTATGTTTGTTTGGTTTTTGTGTGATTAGATGAATGTTTTTGTATTTTTATAACTTGGAAGTTATAGGGGGAAAGTGGTGTTGATTTTAGAGAAGAGAGGGAACTCGATGTGAAATGTAGCTGTCCATTAAGTGAATGGTCTGCAGTGGCTAAGAGTAACCACCCCCAGAGGGCACCATTGTAGAAATTGAGAGTTGTTTTGCCTGAGCAAAGCTAGGAGAGAGATGGACAGATAACTTGAAAAGATCACATGAATTAATATGTCTATTCTGGCTCTTACTATGCCAGGGAGCTTGCCTTCTCCCAATGGTCACAGTAAAACTAGTTTCTTCAACTCTCTATCTTCACATAAAATACCTAGAAAAGCCTGCAGTGCTAGAGAAATACATAAGAACTGCAGTTAGTAAACTCTCTACTCAAAACCTTTCCTCTCCATGTCCCTGGAATGAGACAGGAGCAATGTCCCCTCTTTCTGGCTTTGCTCCTGCTTTTTGAGGGCCCAAGTTTCACTACCCTCTCTCCCTCCTCTCTGCTCATTTCTGTCCAGCTGATAGTTCAAACCCCAGCTCAAATGCTAATTCTTCTGCAAGACCTTTTCAACCCCCATGCCACACCTACACTGCTTGCTCCTCTAACATTGACTGTCTGCATATTTTGCACCTGCCTGGAGTTAATTTTTTCCCAAGGGTGGATTCTTTTCCTTAGTGTAATTGTAAGGTGCTCAAGAAGAGAGACTGTGTTGAGTTCTCTTCTTCTAATCCTCCTCAGCACCTGGCCCAAAGACAGCCAGGCAGCCCCCTCTCCCACTGATGAAGTGAGTAGATGGATGGGCTATTAACCTCAGTACTCCCTCTGTCCCCTAACTAACTAAAGATGCCATGCAGGATTTCAGTTAGCTCGTGAGTTTTAGCTCACATGTGCATCAGTGCTTGGGATGCAGAAAGACAGCAGTGGTGTCAAAAGTTTGAAGATGTATAATATAATCTGCATCATTTTTCTATTTATTAAATCCAATCTAGGAATGTTGTTGCATGGAACTCCCACCTCTTTGGTAGTTAGGTATTGTGTACCCCTTTTGAGAGATACAGGAACTCTGGGTCAAAGAGGCCAAAGATGGTAAGGACCATGACTAAGAGGCTGGTGGAGGACAGACTATGTCTTAGTATCTCAGCTCTTGGGTTCTGCTTGTGCTTATTTGATCTTCCCACTCTGGCCCCTGCCACAGAACCTCTGCACTTCTACAATATAGAAAAGTCTTATATTTGACTACATGTCAACATGCCCCCCATTACTTACCAAATTTGGAATCCTTTGAGGCCCTTGGGAAGCCCTCCCAGGGCCAGGCACAGAGAAAATGCCTACTGAATGCTCAGCTCATGTCCCTTGGTAGTCTTCCTTCAGTAACAGCTGTAGAGGGATCAAACTAGAGATCAATATTTCCCAGCTCTCGTGTGGATCTATGTGGTAGAGTCAACATTCATAAACTTCTTTAAATGTGTTTATTTGTGTGTCTCTGGTCTGAGGGCCACCCCAAATAAGACAGCTTATTTTTTTTTTTCATTTCTTCTTTTTTGGTCTTTTTCTTTATTTGTTTTTTAAGAAGTTGCCTGATAACCATATACATTTTCCAATCCTAGGACTATATTCAGAAGACTTAGCTCCCATTCATAAAACCTAGCTTTAGTTAGATTTTCTGATTAGTTATTCTGTGTTAATCTGTCAGCTGCCCTCTCCCCACAAGTGGGGATACCGATTGCAAAACTCTCTAATCCAGTGGTTCTCAACCTTGGCTGAACTTTAGAATCACCTGGGAATCCTTTTAAAATCCTGATTTCTGGGCCTCATCCTCCGGAAATTCTGTTTCTTTGTTACTAATGTGGGCCCACCCCATAACAAAGAAACAGAATTTCCGGAGAATAAAGCCCAGAAATCAGGATTTTAAAAGGATTCCCAGGTGATTCTAATGTGCAGCCAAGATTGAGAACCACTGCTCTAATCTCTTCCTTAACTGTTCTTTAACCCATAAATAGCCGGATGTGGCCAGGGCGTGCGCGCGCACACACACACACACACACACACACACACACACACACGGCAGAAGTTTGCTAACCTCCTTTATGGCTGATTGATAATCTGATTCCTGGATGATGTTGATAATGATGATGATGATGATGATGATGATGATGATGATGATGATGATAGTGATCATGAATTTCTGCTTATGTCTTAATAAGTAGTTATTGATAACATGTGGTTCCCTTACTGACTCCTCTAGGAAAAGAAGGGTACATTTACTGGCTTTCTTCACAGCTCCTTCTAAGTGGTGGGAGGTGGAAGTGGTGGATAGGAAGCCTTGACACTATGGTTGAAACAAACACCAGTATTTCTCAGTGACAGCTTACTGCAGAGCAAAATGCCCTGGGCTGTCAGGTTCCACACTTTTTATTTCTAGTCCTGGTTCTTTAGATAATTATCTGTATGACCTTCCTTAAGCTCTTTCCATCCCAAGCCTCCTTTTCTCTACTTGTAAATTAGTTGGGGGCGGGGGGAGATTGTAAGGTAAAAAAAAATACTCTTGAACTCTGAAAGGCTCAGGGCACTATTGTGTTCCCTACCTCTAGGGAAGCAGTTCAGCTGCTCTAGCTGTGATTTAAATGTCTCTAGATTCCTTCTCCAGGAAGCGACTTGAAACTCTAAAGAGAAAAAGCAGTCTTGGAACCCGTCCAACCCCAGCCTCTTTTCCACTGCAACTCTGAAGACTGAACTCCATCTCCCACTCACTGCAGCATCAGACTCTGGGAAAATCAATCTATTTGCAAAAGCTTCCCAAATCATAAACCGTCCTTGCACACTGTTTCAGTCTCCCCACTAACATGCCACACCCAGTTCCCAAATTGTTACTCCCCGGGTGTTGGACAAAAGTGTAGTGTCCCCCTAGGAAGCTGGGCGCAAAACCCAGGGGTCATTGCATGCAATCTGAAGCTGGTGGCTGCACGTTGGAGAAAGCATAGCATCAGCATCATGCTGGATTCACGCCGTTCCAGACACCCTCAGTTGAGCTCTCAGAGACTCTACAATGTCCCCCTCCCAATTCTCTAACTGTCCCCTGCCTCGTTCTTCTTGCACAACCCCAAAATTTGTGCAGACACTTCCTAGTGGCCACTGTCCTTCGACGGCCAACCAGGTACCGAATTAGGCCTCCAGGTTGTCAGTAGTCACCACGGTCGCCTCAGCCCCCTCTCAGTTCCCTGTGCCACAGCTCCTAGCTGGTATTTTGGGCACTGGTGCAGAAGATAAAAAGGAGAGTAAGGGCAAAGGAACGTGAAGAAGGCGGATCACGGGGGTTGCCCAGAGAAGATCCACTAAGACTGGGCTTCCAGCTGCAGCAAGAAGGGGGAGGGAGAGCCAGGTTAGAGCTTCGAAAGGAGGGGGCCTGAGACTGCAGCAGCAAAGACTTCGCCAACCCCTTTAGCTCCCTAGCGGGGATGGACAGGGCGGAGCTTCAACCGCGGCTCCCCATTGGCTCTCTCGCGAAGCCCTTAGACTTTGTGTAAAATGCGGTTGCAGTGGCTCTGACTTCACTGGCTCAGAGCACAGCGCCTGCAGGCCTAAGACAGACGGATTCAAGGGGACAGAAATTTAGTCTGAACGACCCCCAACTGGGTGAAGGAGGAACGGTGCTCAGTGAACGCCTGGCGCTGCTGTCCTGAATTCAGAACCCGCTCTGCCTGCGCACCCCAAGCTGAGGAACATTTGGAGCCAGCCGCATTCGCCAGCCGCATTTGCCAGCCCCGCGCTCCACTGTCCAGCTCAGCTCAGCCCACTCCGAGTCAGGTCCAGCGGTTGTCTTTTCCTTCTTGCGGGTCCCCTCGTGCATTCCTCCCACCCACCCCCTCCCACTCCGGACGCTGAGCAGTGCTCGCCCAGCGCACTGTGGAGACCCCCCCCACCCCACCCCTCCCTCTCTCTTCCCTTGGCTCTCCCTGACCCAGTAGCTTAAAGATTTTGAGGTTTTCCAAAGGCGTCAAGCTGGACGCCCCAACCACAGAATCGCCCCAAGGGGCTTTTCCAAACCCCAGCATCATGAGCTATGGGGACGAGCTCACCCCTGAAGCTCTGAGTGTGCCAAGCGGGTTTGATGATCTGATCACCTCCACCGCCTCCCAGGTGCTGCAGGCTATTTCTAATGCCGCATCCGCAGTTGGTAGCTCAGGCCGGGATAGTGTGCTCTCTATGATCCCTAAGCTACCCGGCCATATCTCAAACATTGGCAACCTGGATGACACAGCAGGTCCTATGGCTTCAGAGATGGTGTCTCAGGATGAGAGGGTACAGTTCTGGCTAGTAATAGGATACACCATAGTGGTATTTGCTGCCATACTAGGCAACTGGGTCTTAAACCATGTGATTTTGAAATACAAGAAGATGCACACTGCCACCGGCCTCTTTGTCGTCAACATCTCCGTGACCAACATGATGCTGGCTTTTCTCAGCTCTCCCTTCACCATGGTAAGCTGGATGTTGAAGAGGGCGACCCGGGGCTCAGGCCATGAGAGCAGAAACACAACTTTAAGTGCGTAGAGACAGGAATGGCTGAGGGATGCTGTAAACGGTTTGGAACTTGGGGGGAGGGGAGCTACAGCCATGATTGTGATTGCGTTGCTAAATTATTCTCCTGCCTTGTCAGAGGCTGAGTGACGTGTGTGGCTTAAGGAAGGGGTGGGGAGCTGTTTCGGGTGTGCTTTGTCACAAAGACCTAGCTTCAGTTTCCCCATTATTAGCCACGTTCCATTCCAAGCATTTCAAACGCAGTGCTTGGAATGGAAAGTGGCTAATAATTTTTGTGATTTGAGGTCTGGGTCTTCAAGCTGGGCTGTTTCTGTGGAAATAGATGAGAGGGTATGAGAGCTGCAATGTGAAAATATTTCCTTCCTGAGACAATAATGCCAGCAGTTTTGTGAAGCAAGGAAGCTTCTCTACTTCTATTTTGAGCTTGTAAGAGGGGAATTAGGCAGTGCTGAGTCCTGGTGCCTCACCATGTCCTTTCTCCCACAGGTGCGCTATCTGTGTAATTCCTTGGTGTTTGGGAAGATGACATGCCACCTCAGTCGTTTTGCTCAGTACTCTTGTGCCTATGTAACTGTGATGACCATGGCTGCTATTTCCCTGGACCGACATCGGGTATGTGTTTCCCAGGGCTTTTCAGGTCTTATAAAAGAGTAGGTTTTTCTTCTAGACAGATGGAAGCAGCTAAGAACACAAATAATTTAAAATGTTCTTTGAGTTCCTTGAGACAATCTATGAGAATACATATATATATATATATATATATATATATATATATATATATATAGAGAGAGAGAGAGAGAGAGAGAGAGAGAGAGAGAGAGAGAGAGAGAATACACACACACAAACACATATGTATGTATGTATTAGGAGGATTGCAAAGTGTGAATTACAGACTTTTGCCATATCAAATCTTATGTAACAAAAATACCATCATCTTTTATATGGTGCTATGAGAACAGATGGAGCAATAAGAAAATTATTTTTAAAAAAAGTGGCCTCCTCCTTTCGAAAATATGTTTTCTTTTTTTTTTTCTTTTTTGTTGTTATGGAAAACATTTTTTATTTGCTGCATTGCAGGACTGGCTAAGGGAAGAAAGAAGAAAAGAATGAGTCAGAGCAGGGTGTGGCTTCAGGGCTGGTGGTGGGTTGAGTCTGGGAGGTGGGCTTGAAATCTGTGAGGGAGAACTGAGCAAATGAAATGGAAAGAAATTGAGAGATTGAGGAAGAAGAAGTTGAGAGAAGGGATTGAAGTGACTTAAAAGGAAGGAGATAGGGCTAGAGATGAAATGTTGTTAATCAGTTGGGAGGGAGCCAGGAAACAAGTACAGTGGGAAGAACATAGAGGAAAATTGAAGGGGTTGTGTCTGGAACCAGATGGAGGTGGCCATAGAGAAATCTAGGTAATAGGAGATTAAAGAATATGGGAGAGGACATATAGGAAGAGAGGAGAGGGGAAGGAAGGAAAGAAAGATTGACCATCGAAACATCAAGATGGGAGGGGATGGAGGGATAAGGGAAAGAGACATAAAGGGAACCAAGTGGGGTAAAGGATGGAGGGATGTGGAGTGCTCGCCCATCAATATATGACGAAGAAAAAATACATTACACTTTTGAACATCCATCCCTCTTCTCCACTGAACTCCTAAATGGGAGACAGAAACTTTGAAATCAGTCCACTTGGATTGCTATCTTCCCATTGACGTGTTTCTCACTACACTAACCAACTTTGTTCTTTCATAAAACAAAATACCACTTATCGGTCAACAGAACTAGTACCCAAAGTACATTATTCACCCATCTACCAAGTCTTTGCACTTTTGCAAAAGAATGTCAGTTGAAGAATGACTAGTAAGTAACCCTAATATAGATTGTTTAATTGGGCTGGGGTCTTTTCTTCCAGGTCATGCTATATCCCCTGAAATCCCGAATTACTCCAATGCAAGGCAATGTTTGCATCATTATCATCTGGATTGTGAGCACCTGTGCTGCTTTGCCACATGCCATTTACCAAAAGCTTTACCAAGTGGAGATTGGGTAAGAGAAACACAGAATGGCCAGTGTCTGAATTTCAGCAATCCATGACCTTGAAAGTCTCATGAAATAAGGGGAATGGGATAGGGGCTGGAATAGCACATTTCAAAACATGGGTACAAAAATAAATTTCTCTAAACTGGAATTTACTAAGAGTACTCAAGAACTCTCATGACAATGGGTTGTTAGGCATACCACTTTCTGTTTGGGGTCCATTGATTCTGTATATATCATATGAGATGTCTGGAATTGATGAAAACTAAAACTCCCTGCTTTATAATTCTAGTCTTCAGTCCTAGCACACACACAAATAGTAAATATGTCTCTTCCTTAAGGCCTGTCTGCCATATAACACCTGGCTATGGGGCTAAGGGAAAAGGGAAAGTAAGTTAATGTTTCTCTTTCTCTGACTGTCTTATAACCTAGAAACATAACTGAAGAAACTGTATGCCTCCCCAGTTTTTCCTATACTTCAAAATCCACATGGAAATATCTTGACCTGAGCACCTTTTTGCTCTTCTTCATCTTGCCATTGATGGTACTGATGGTTGTCTATGGTCATGTGGCCAAAAAACTGTGGATCCATAATGCTGTTGATGACATCAACATCCACACCTACATTTGCCAGCGTGGGAAGAAGAAGCAAAGTCTGAAGATGCTAATGATGGTGGTGCTTGTCTACACTATTTGCTGGCTTCCCCTCAACCTCTATCTGGTGCTGCTCTCTAGTGAATCCATCTCAAGCCACAATGGTCTCTACTTCTTCCTCCACTGGCTTGCAATTAGCAGCTCATGCTACAACCCTTACATCTATTGCTGGCTCAGTGATAGCTTCCATATTGAAGTTCAGAAGGTCATAATGGATATCCAGAAGATGCTACTAGATGGAATCAGCCGCCTGAGAGGGGAGCACCGCCAACTGAGCTCTGCCTCACCCACTAACCACCCTGCTAGGATGGATCCCAATCCTGGAGTGCCCAAATTCCCACGATTCAAAGATTTTGATGAGCTACCCAGTCCTCCTCCATCCCCAGAGGTGGAAACCTCCTTTCTCTACCCCCCAGTGCCTAGAGTTTAAGCTGCCCAGACCGCGATAGATTATCCATCCTCAAAAACTCAGATAGGGTGGGACCAAAATAATAAGTTTCATTCATTTTACATGGTCGGGGGAATGGAGGAAGGGGTTGGAATTTGAGGGATGAGGGCCATGTGAGCCACCAAATGTGTCTTACTTGCTCTTTCATTTTCTTCTGTCTGTATTTTCTCCTGTTTCCTTTCCAACATTTTCTTGCTCCCAACAGTAAGTAAACTGAAGATATTAGATCTTCAGGCTCATCAGAGATGTTTTTACATAACTCAAAGGAAAGTTACACTATGACTTGGGTCTCCTAAATTTCATCTCTGATTCTGGAGACTGTTCTCTTCTCCATTTTTGTGTGCCCACCTGGCCATGGCACTTGTGTTCTGACATCTTAGACATTGTCTCAGAGCCCCCAGAGATTACTTATATTTATTTAGCTGAACAAGAGGTCACTGTCCATATTGTGTCCAAAATCTTCCCAGAGAAATAACAGAAGAGAAATTCATAGTTTCTGAAATTTATTTGGGTTCTCTAGGAACTAAGAGCTCCCTATAAATGCAAGTAGTCTTATCTCCTCATGGAAGAATGAGAATGAGAAACTTTACAGGAAAGACAAGGCAGTTAAATGGTTCACTCCACATCACCTGGGTTATTTCTCCAGAATGCAAATACAATAATTTGATGATAGCTTTCCTTTAAATGCAGTGACAATTCAAGTGCCCAAGTTAGCACTGCAAAATCCAAAAATTCTCCCTGTTTCTTGACTCTACATTTAACATACCTTATCTAATGTAAACGTGTACTGTCTATTCTTGCCTTTCTTTTTCTGGAAAAAGAGAAAGTGTAATGTGTTCACTGTTGATTTGTTTCCATCCCTCTAGCCTATGAGAATTTCAACTCAAGAGAGATGAGGAGGAAGTAACTATCTGCCATCACCTTTCATGTGGAGACATTGTTATTAAGGCTCTTTGAAAGGTATAACTGTGTGTGTCAGGAAAATGCCAAGATGAGAGTGTGTTTTTTCTCCTCCTCCCCCTGATTCCTTACTCATATCCTTGTCTGCCCCTTTTCATCTCCTTTCCTCCCCCTCTATCGTCTCTCCCTGGCACCTTCTCCTCCTCTACTTTCTCTGTTCCACCCTTCTCCTTTTCCTCCTTTTCCTCCTCTGCCTCCTACAAATTCCTTCCTTCTTCTAACCCTCTTTCCATGTCTCCTTTGTTCCCTTCCCTTTCTCCTTTCCCCTCTTCTCCCTGCTTCTGCCGATGTTATGTTCTCCCCTCTTCTTCACTTCTTTCCTCTTCCCGTAATTATCTTTCATTTTCTTCTCTCTTTACTCCTCTTATTCCAGCTCCAGTTTCCTCATTCCTCCTGAGTCTCTTCCTTCTTTGGCACCCCTTCTCTAATTTGTCCTTCTTTCTTCATTCCTCTATTATCTATCTATTCACCCTTCACTTCTTTGAACTCTGATGCAGAGTTTAAACTACTGCTTTCTCCTTGCATTTTAATTATTGTTCATCAATTCTCTCCAATATTTCTCTCTTCTCTTATCTTCAGAATTCAGACTTCTCTAACCCTTAGTGGAAGCCTGGGGATCTGCACAGCATTTTAGCTTTGTTCATTTCCTCCTCTCCCTCCTTTTCATATTTCACCACCACCTCCAAAGAATCAAAATAACTTCTAAAAAATATAAAATAGCTAATAACTAACAACAACAACAGTAAGAACAGACTTTTATCACCACAAGATAACTCTGGAGATTCTTAGAAGTTCCAGGCCCACCTGGCTGGCTTCCGAGTTTTATTGCCCCATTTGCTGTGAACTTCATAGCGACTGACCATAGCAGTACTGAGAACAGGTTATCATCATCTCTTTAGAGTGTATGTGTGTTTCTGCATCAATCTCATTCTCCCCAATCATCTTCCCTTTCTTCTCATCTTAATCATTGTCTTTTTACCAAGGACATGTTATTCAAAGTCCTTTTAATCCTTCAGTTTCCTCTGAAAAGTGGCAAGCCAGGGGGGCATAAAGCAGATTAACTGGAGTTTAGCTTCTAGCTAGTCATCCTACCTGGTGAAAGCAAAAATTGGCTAATTTGAAGTCAGAACTCCAGGAATCTATGAAAATTTTCCATACTTGCTAAAGTATTGCATCCCTTTTTTAGATGAAGAAAAATTTGAGGGGAAAGAAGTGTAGTTTAATCTCTGCTTCTTTCTATTTTCATGAATGAATGTTTTATCTCTTTTCCCTTCCCACTCTCACCACCAAAATAAAAAAAAAACACTAAAAATACTAAAAAGAACTATATTTACATAAGTACAGGACTAAATATTTAGAGAAGTCCTGGACTAAATAGATAACCATATCTCCTGGTGGCATCATTGTAAATTGCACATTCACCTTTCAGCTTCAGCTATTTTTGAAATTGGTAGTCTTTGTGAGTGGTGAGCTCTGCTGATATCTTTTTATTTCTCATTATGTAAATCCTCATTCTTCTAAGGACAGATTTGTCTTTCTCATTCTCCTTTTAGCAGGATGGATACATCCCAGGACAATCAGGCTGACTGTCTAAGACTCTGTTTCTTCATGAGGAGAGAGCAGAGTGAAAATGCCCTGAGGTAGCCAGTGCTTCTTGAAGGAATTATACCTTGCTCTGATATGTTTCTTTACCTACTTAGACTTAAGAGAAGTTCAGATAAAAGAGTTGTCATTATAATTTAAATGACTACTGTGCTATTGTATGTTCACTTAGTGTTCTCCTTTCCAGGAACACTCCTCCCTATTCCCACCTTTATCCTCCAAAGAATCAGACACTCCCCCACACACACTTCAGTAAAGCTGAATATCTGGGATGTTTCATGCTTGACAGATGATCCAGCTTGCTGCTGCCTCAACTTTCCCTACCCATCAGCTTTGGTGATGTACATGATGCTTGAAGAATTGGGCCCCTTGGTAGCTTGAATTTTTTGTGGGGTTTGCTTAGATTCTTTTCAGCAGCAACTAATCTGAACTCAACACCCAGCCAAGTCTGGGGGTGCTACCATTGTAAGTAGTTTCTGGCTGAGGGGAACTTATTTAATTGGAATATGGTGCTAATGAGTACTAGGTCGTAGGCTCTAACCCATGTGAAGCCATTTAGCTTTGTGGGTTTGAGCATGGTGCTAAAGAACTATGGGATTGTGGTTTCAAAACCCCATATGTGTCTGTTTACAGACTGCACCACTCACCCTGGCCAGCCTTTTTCTGAACATGGGTTATCAGCCATCTGGAAGACCCAGTAAAACTGTTTGAATAGCCCTGCAAAATTCATTTTCACTTCTGAGAAACAGTTTAAAGTGTATTAACTACTGATAGTGTTTTAGCAGTGTCACCTTCTTGTCAGAAAGACACCATTTTTTGAAATGTATAGTTGAACAGCAATGATGGATGGGAGAAGTTGCCAAATTATCCTTTTTCACACATCCAAATGCACATACAAGCCTTTGTCCAAGGCCATGAAACTGTACCTTGGTCTAATCCAGGACATTTAAAGAAATGCTTTGATGAAACTAAGATTTATATGAAGCTGTTCCAATGCCACACCTCACTGGTTATGTTTGGACTAGAGGAATTTATCTCCTGACACATATATCTGAGATGCTGGTAGTCAATTTTAAATGTTACTTATTTGTATATGTATGACATAGATTCACTCTTAGATATTCTGAACTGAAGGCCTTTTTCATTGAAAATTCCCTCTTATCCTGTACTTATCTTTGTGTGTTGTCATACATATACTCACTCACACATATGCATGCATTCACACATATACATAAACTCACACATACACCTATACACACCTACACACATGCACATATGTGAACACAGGAATACACCCACATATATAAGATTACATATATGCGTATACATACAGAAAAAATGTACACAAAGACTTATTATATTTTAAAATAAACATGACCAAATCCTTTCATAATGCATATTCCAAATCTAAATTTTAATTTTTAGTCACTCTTTCAGTCAATTATCTGTTTGAGTAAATGAACTCTGTGATCTTTTCAAAACCATCATCATTTTTCTGGGTGATTAGATTACTATTTTGTACATTGTTGTAGATGCTGACACTATGTTATTAAAATCTGGGTAGCACTCACACTTCTAGCTTATAACATGGTAAATGTCCTACTAGCAAATGCATATAATAATACCAATTGGATATTTATTATTCAAAAGAAAATATACTTAATTTTATGCTTAAACACACATAAAAGCAAACCCTTAAATTGGAAGTAGGAACTTGAATACACATGAGCATAAACAATTTATACACATATAAATTACAAAATGTACACAGAATATACACTATACACAGACAAAAAAAGATACACACAGAGCTTCAAGAAATCCTTACCATAAAAAGAATCTTGCTGATCCATGCCAGGAAAGAAAAGATTAAATGCCTAAGTTGTAATTTTCTAATACAATGAGGAATTCATAAAGACAATGAGATCTGTGGGCTCAAACCCTTGTTAGCATATATAATGTAGGAAGAACAGAAGGCTGAAGTCCCTTTGCCTACTTTGCGAGGAACTTTTTTTTTTTTTTAATATATTTTATTGATTTTTTTTTTTACAGAGAGGAAGGGAGAGAGATAGAGAGTTAGAAACATCGATGAGAGAGAAACATCGATCAGCTGCCTCCTGCACATCTCCTACTGGGGATATGCCCGCAACCCAGGTACATGCCCTTGACCGCAATCGAACCTGGGACCTTTCAGTCCGCAGGCCGACGCTCTATCCACTGAGCCAAACCGGTTTCGGCGCGAGGAACTTTTTAAGCTTGGGTGTTACCTATGCTCCAGGAAAGTTACATGCCTTAATATCAGCAAGTGACTACCAAGAATCATAATTACAAATTTGGACCATCTGCTTCCTTCTTTGCCATTGCTGAAGGCTGTTGACATCTCTAGACTATGAGACAAAGCCTCATTGATGGACACTGTCGTCCTTCAGGCCATGTGAAGAAGGAAAGGAGATGGAGCCAGTCTGGACAGTTTGAGAGTGGGGGTAAAGTTTATTCTGATAACTCTTGTTAAGAGTTTTCTGTGTCTAGTTCAACCTTCCTGTCCTTGTAATAATAATACAACTATTTTATGTGATTATGACTTTGTGATTCTCAAAGCTAAGACCTTTTGGTGTTTTTCAACATGTTTGTTGTCAATGTTTTCCCCCGCATTGAAAAACTAGAAACTGTTAGGGGGTCTGGATAAGACTGCAGATTTCATTTGTAAATATGCTGGTGAATTGGGTAGATGCTCTGAAAACAACAAAACACTGGAAAGGAGCCTTTTTATATTCTAGGAAAAGCTTGATGCTGAAAGAAACAGCATTATCTGGATGCCCAAGGTGGGTACTGAGGAAAAACTGTAGATTTTAGTTTGAAGTGCGTATCTTGACATAACAGATACAGATTCTGAAGGAAGTGCCCATATTTAGATTTATGTAAATAGGTATATGTTAGCTAGACAAGTTGAAATGTTATAGCAGAATTTAAAATTAAGGAGTAAATCTAGCTATTCTTTTGGGATTCTATCCTACTAGAAATAAAGTTGTCACTGGTTTGAGTATTTTTATGGAATGATCTAAATGACATCCAGGAGAGATATACAGATCAAGCTGACCCACAAGACCTTTGCTGTAGAGGATTTCCCCACTGAAAATACTAATCTCAAGGTAGTGTAAAGCCTTCATTAATAGTTGGGAAACTCTGAATACTATTTTTGTTGCTTTAACCAAGAGGTTGTGTTTGTGAAGACCTTTGTACCTGTAACTTGGAACTCAAATAGGAAAGTTTAGTATTTAAAAATCCTTTTAAATGCAAATAAAAAACATAAAATAACCCATAAAGAAAGAAAGAAAGGAAATGATCTTTTAGACTGTTTAAGGTAGTTAGTGAAGTTTATTATCTACTCCAGCACCTACCTAAGCAGTGCTTACTGGACTCTCCATGAGATGAAAATGAACTTGATATCTTAATGACTTTCAGGTTTTCAGCCTTTTCCACTGCTCTGTCCTTGCTCACAAGCTCTATGGAATGATGGAAACATCCTATGTGCACAATTTTATCCCACACTAGATATATAGTGTATATGTAGTTGTAGTGTGGACTGCGAGACTGAAGACTCCCAGCGAAGAACACTGTGAATTTGCCACATTTTCTGTATGCAAGTTGCAATAGCAGTGTTTAAATGGCACAGAAAATAATGCTCCTTGCAAAGATACTGACAAACTGCAATGGACATCCTGACAAAGGAGAATGAGAGAAGTCTCACCTTGTTCAATAGAAGAATGGACATTATTTTGTGATCCCAATAGGGATACCTGCATTACTTATTTTCTTGTTACTGTGCTTTAAATATGCTCTACTAATGTCCCTATTCCTCTGTACTCTCATTTAATGTTTGAATTTGGATTCTGTGTTGGGTTGGGGAGGGAGCACAAGGTAGGGGATAGTGTAGTGGGTGGGAGCATGGGAAGTAGGAGTAGATTAGAATATATATGTATTCACACAGTAAATAAAAATATTTGTTTAAAACACTTCCAAGCTCTTCTTTTTTTATTTTTTATTGACGAGAGAGAGAGAGAGAGAGAGAGAGAGAGAGAGAAACATTGATTTTTTTTTGTTCCACTTATTTATGCATTCATTGGTTGACTCCTGCATGTGCCCTGACTGTGATCAAACCCACAACCTTGGCATATTGGAAGGATACTCTAACCAATTGAGCTATCCAGCAATAGCCTCAAGCTCGTCTCATATGAGTAGATCTGGTTGGCACAGGGTGAGGTGTTCCTTACATCAGTGGGTATTTATGATCCACAGTACCTACCATAAGTGTCAATTGATTATTGCTGGTGCCAATTCAACATCAACAGGAATCCCCAATTTGGGGTATGGTATAGAAGAAAACTTTATTCAGTGCAAATATTGATTAAAGTATGGCTGTGAAAACAGCACTACTGTGGAACAGCTCAGCAGTGCTACAGCACAGCTGTGAAAACAGGCTGTGAGGTGAACCTGGTGTTGTGCCCAGATTTCAAGATCCCCAAGAAAACCACACCAGGGAGCCAGCCAGTCCAATGCAAAAGCAGAGGGTCCTTTATTGAGCTAGCTCGGCTCCGCCTCCTGGCCGATGCAGAGACCGGAAGCAGAGTGAAACCGCCGTAGGAGAAACAGGGTTTTAATAGGGGGTGGAGTGAGGGGAGGGGAGCTGACTGTGGGCCCTGACGATTGGCCAGGCGCCAGTCGGGTCTTCTTACACAGGATGTGGTCATCTCTATGGCGCGCACGTCCCTTGATTGTCATTGGTTAGTTTAAAGAAATCCCGGGCGTGGCCAGCAGGGGCCTGGGCTTCCGGGAAGAAGGTACTTTCCTGAGCACATGGCGGCTGCCCCAACATGGAGGGTACGGGGCAAGATGGAGGGCATAGCCCTCGCCCTTTCACCTGGGGCCAGGCCCTCTTCAGCTAAGCAGCTCTGCTCCACTCTGTCTACTCCACACAGGTCTGCTCTGGTCTGGTGAGCCATCTTCAATGTTTCAGTTTCAGCTGGGGAAATGCAGTCATCAGTCTTCAGCTGGGGAAATGCAGTCTCCCCTCAGAGGCAGAGGGGAGATGGCTTATAAGAAGGGAAGTCCCTGCTCCTGGCTCCTGATTGGTTCATCCTCATGCAAATGAGGATGCCAAATCCTCAAAGTTTGATAGATCCAAAAGGCATATCCTGATTGGACAGAGTACAGCCACTCTGCCGGAGCTGCGCAGCTCTGATTGAATGGGGAATCCCAGTCCTATTGGTTGGACTAGGACTCCAGGAACTCCTTTATAAGGGCTGGCTCATATGGCAGCAACACAGTGCAGCAGGAAGTTCAGTGCACAGACGCACCAGTCAGTGCAGGCTTCTCCCTGAAGTGTAGTTTGCATGAGTGTCTCCTGTGTGGAAATGACTGCTAGGCTGTTTTTTGTTGTCGTTGTTCTTGCTGTTTTTGTGTGGGTTTTTGCTTGTTTGTTTGTTTGTTTGTTTTTAGCCACCAGGAACCCTTCTCAGTTCTCAGGGTATAAGTTAAAAATTATTGAAAACTTTCTATGTGCTAACCATATGGGTACTGAAGTAGGAGTGGGTGGGAGTAGAGATATAATGTAGAAGCAAACCTTTTGAACTCTGCTTTGGAAAAATTTCCTGGTTGGCAAAAGAGACAGTTTGCCCATGAAAACACTAGGGGAGTCAAATCTCCACCTGCTGGTTAGTAACCAGAAAAGCATGTTGGGACCTCTATGGGAAAGTACCAAGCCTCCAAAAATAGGTGGGGTCAAGTCAAGAATGCCCAAAGCAATGAAGATGCCTCACTCAATAAAACCAAATCTAAGAATTCCAAGATTTAAACCCAGTAGGAGAATTTCTAGATGGGAATGAGTATTAACCAAGTGGCTTGAGCATGACACCCTGAATTTACCATTCCTTAAGCATCTTTAGCTTGAATTATCACTGCAATAATCATCCCTAAGCCCCATATGTGCTCTATGCACTTTGTATGCTCTGATCCTTTAAAACGCAGTTGTCTTTTGGAAACCTGTAAGCTTCCCTCAGATATGCTAAAGGAAAACAATTGGGAAATACACACGCACTAAAAAGCATAAATACATGTTAACAAATTCCCAATATCAGATCCCATAGTTTCCAGCTTCCACCCTAACATATATGTGTGTGTGTGTGTGTGTGTGTGTGTGTGTGTGTGTGTGTGAGAGAGAGAGAGAGAGAGAGAGAGAGAGAGAGAGAGAGAGAGAGAGAGCGCTACATCAAGGTCCAAGACAGATTCTCCTTAACTGAGTTCCCAATTTCCAAGCCTCCGATTTTGTCTTTGCTTGAGGGTCATTATGATAATACTGGTTATATAAGAGCACCCTCCTAAACAAACATATCTTGTAAGTATTGCCCCACTATAAGTGCCCCCACAATGTCATATGGATCAAAAGTTATTTTACTATTCAAAGATACATACATTTATTATAATAACACAGTGCCTTCTTGTTAAACACCTGATATAAACAAACTTTAAGACTTAATTCGAAAACAAAGCATGATAGCACAATAAACATTGACAATATTCTGTCAATACAAAAGCATTTTAAATTTTAAACAAAATCAGAATGTGTAGAACATTTTGATATTAGCAAAATCACAAGAAAGTTTTGCAATTTCTTTTTATCAGTGACCTCTAATTTTATGCTCTAACATAAAATATTTAAATCTGTTAAATGTTTTTACCCAGACAGATCCTTAGTTTTTTAAATTAGGTTTAATTTAATAAAGAACAGTGCTGTGTAGATACAGTGATGGGAATGATGCAAATCAAAACGATAATGAGGTACCATCTCACACCTGTCAGAATGGCTATCATCAACAAACGACAAGTGCTGGCGAGGATGTGGAGAAAAGAGACCCTGGTGCACTGATGGTGGGAATGCAGACTGGTGTAGCTGTCATAAGTGTTTCCCTCTACGTCCTGCGTGGTTCAGGGTTCAGGTCTGGAAGAGGAGCCGCACAACAAATGAAAAAGAAAAGACAGGAGGTAATTTGGGAATATTGGGGGACCAGGCGGCAAGTCCAACTCAAGAGGAAGGATT